CTCTACTGTATCAAGCAATTCTTAATATTTAATTTATAATTTATAATTTATGATTTTTAATTTATAATTCATTATTCATAAATAAAGCTATAAACCTAAATCTAGCCATTGCGTATTGTAAGCCATTGAAAGTGAAAGAAAAGTGAATTGTATTCTACTTAATATCGTCGTTCTTACCATCTAGATATAACTCAATGTCTTCCTTCCGAGCTTCCCATTTTTCAACTTGAGCTAACTTGTGCTCAATATCCCTGATTTCGTTGTCAATGCTCTTCAAATTCTCACCCGACGTAAGGTCATAAAATTCCCATTTATCAGGATCTCCTGCATCATTTTTTATTTCCAAAATGAAATCATGGTATTTCATTAACAAAGGTCTATGAGATAAAGTGATGAAAGTAATCTTCTTTCTTTGCAAGAGCTCAAATAGATAGTCTTCCACATCTGTCGAAACAGCGTTGGTTGATTCATCTAAAATCACGAATTTAGGATTTTTGAATAATACTCTAGCGATACTAATTCTTTGCTTCTCACCACCGCTAAACACATCTTTCCAATCTTTCTTGACATTAAAGTTACCTTCCCTCGTCAACAAATATTCCAACTTAACCTCTCTTAAGATATGGTATAAATGATCATCGTTATATCCCATTGAAAGCATATCGTCGTAACTATACGGATAGATAATCTGATCTCTCAAGTTTCCATTTGTGAAATAAGACTTTTGAGGTAAGAAAAAGAGCTGTTCATCGTCAGGCTTCGATAGTAACCCAGAATATAAGGGCCAAAGTCTAGCTATAACTCTAGCTATTGAAGTTTTACCACATCCATTTGATCCTAGAATGAGTAAGTTCTTGTTTTCAGAAATCAGAAAATTCAATTTATCAATTAATCGAGCGCTGTGAGACCCTTCAAAAGAAGGAATTATAATTGGAATGTTTTCAAATCTTACTCCCTGGCTATAACGGTCCTGAATAGTTCCATGTATGTCATCACTGCCATAAATTGAGCCATAGTCAAACCTGGGTGAGTGAACCTTGTGTAAATTGTACAATAATGTAAAAACCCTATCTGTATAGCCAGTCAATTCAGAAATATCTTTAATGGAGTACATCAACCTGGAACCCGCATCAGCAAGAGAAAGCATAAGTCTCTTATTAATGATAAACTGTCTCATATTTTGTCTTTCATTATTAACGGGCTTTTTAATAGTTTCATCTTTGGAGTCTGATTTAGCTGGCCAAATCTCATCTAAAAACACAGGTAAACCTGCGAATACATAACCCCATGCAGACCATGTGTACTTCAAGATATAGTCTTCCAATGTCGAATATCCAAACGTCACATTAATTTCCTTCGAAATATGATCGATTAATTCGAAAAAAACTTCCTTTAATTTTGCCTTTTCAATTCTCGATCCCTTATAAAAACCGATTTCTTCACAATTAGTGCTTAAGTTCAAATGCTGATTATAGTACTGACCTTCCAAATGGGTTCTTCTTGCCATCAATTTACCAAAAGATGGCGTATTCTTTTTCAACAACCATGCAGTTAAGAAATAATTAGTAAATATACCCACAATGGCACCAGTACCTAAATTATCTCTTAAATATACAGAGAAGAAAACTAGATCAATAAACGGTTTCCCCATACTAGAAAATAATCCACAAATTGAATCACAAAATTTAGCAACATCATTTGTTATGTATTGGTCAATGTTTTGGATTTGTTCAGTGCTGAAAGATATCTTATAATAAGCCATAACATTATCCAAATACATATCATGAATATACCTGATAAGGTTAGTTCTGAAGCTTAGAGACAATCTATCCGTCAAGTACTTTATAGCTGCATTAGTGTAAGATGCTGGAAAAGCAATCAAGATCCAGTAAATGAGGTCCCTAGCAAATTTCTTTCCGTTTGCTCCTATCAAGTTTTTGACGATCTGTCCATCTAATTTAGCAACTAACAAAGACAACCAAGTTCTTAAAATTAAGAAAAAGCATTGAGATAAAAGCAAATAAGTATTCTTAGAATAAAATTTAGGAATCAATATCCTCCAAATTATTATTAATTGATTCAAGAATCTAGAATTGAAAATATTCTTCTGCTGTTTCAATTTCTGCTCAATATTAAAGTTCTTGTACAAATACTTATCAGCGGCATACTTGTCCAAATCCGGTTTTGGTATAATTATTCTAGTATGCCTTTTGCCACCCTTTGGTATGAAAATCACTCTCTCCCCATTCTTCATTATTGTTGAAGACAGCCTTACTAGATTTGGCCTGTTTAACCTTCTGTTTAACTGATATTCATTGTATTGGTGAATCAAACTTCTAATAGTGAAAAAAACACCAAGTCCAGCAGTTGATACTAATGTACTCAAAAATAAAATTACTGGTCTGGATTTGTAATTTATAGAGACTTTATTGTCTCTATAGGTTATCACAAATTCTTGTAAGATCAATAGGAGGTTTTTGAGGTCCTCCTTATTATACCCCACTAACCTTGATATATTAACCATTTTGCAAGTTAAAAGTTTATCAGTCAGCTAAATTAGATTCAAGATACTGATTCCAAATGTCCGATTACTGCAGATTTACTATAAAGAACGTTGTTTACAATAAAATAATGTATGTAAAAGACCATAATTGATTGGAGTTTTCCCGCTACCCCATGTCGCAAGGCCAGACGACCTCGACCGAGGTTAATTCCCAAATTTACAAAATAGTCAAAACCATTTGAGGGCAGTCATAGAGTAAGCAAAAATCGAGTTTTACTATAGTACAGCATGCTTTGAATAGTAGAGTATTTACATGAATACCACGGAAAGACATATTAATGACTTTCTTATATTTAATCCTATAGCAAGAGAGCTCTCATTTTTGAAATTATTACTCACTTGAAGATGTATTTTCCAAAGTACCAAGGATTTGTAGTACTACTAAGTGTGCGTCTAACCATTTGGATAGCAATGACAGCTTGGTTTAGAATCATCTAAAGTATATAATGAAATGAAATACTCAGAAGTCAACACCATCAAGCCGTCATAGATAGCACACCATAAATATCAGACATTTACCATTGATCATTTCATCCGATTATTGGGATATGTATAAGTAGCTTAAGAATCTCGTAGCTAATGGTATATTTATGCTCCGTTAAATGATGTCACTACCACTTCTTTCCAGCGACTTTTATCATACATTCCTTGAACTTCATGAATTCGGCCGCACATGAATCCTTTCCAATTGTTGAATAGCAGCCCAAAACACACTGACCATATGCGTAGCCTTCCTTAGAGCATTTGCCGCTTAGTTCTATAAATTTTCTTGCGGGTCTTTTATTCATGGCTGGTCCGTAAGAGATGTAGACTTGAGAATAGAGAAAGATGATATATTTCATTTTTAATGACACAAAATGAATTAATAGCCTATGTTTTGCTATCAGCTAATGATTTTCCTTTCAGTGCTTCCTGAGTTCTAGCATAAAGACGAAAAGTATGAAAGAATGGAGAATGAAAAATTTCCTGACACACCTGATATTAGTATTATAATATTAGGTACTGCCAATAACACAGATTGCTCAAGTATTTATAGCGGGAATATCTCAGATATAGTAGATTTAATGAATGATTTAGATGATACAGATTACACTGAGTTGGACGCTAGGAGTGATCCAGTAGATGCTCATATACTTACACGGTTGGAAGGTACAGGATGGTAAAACATTGTTAAATGGAGGTAGTGAAATGATGATTGTTAATGAAATGGTTTTATGTAAAAGGAGCCACCGGCAATTTGACAAAAGAAAAAGCTGATGTGTCTGATGTGACGAATGCTTCCAGATCCCATTTCATGGACTTAGACACAAGAGACTATGACGATGATTTACTTTTCTTAGGTGCATGATGCGAGGTAGTACGTAACACTGTAGAAAATGCACCATAACAATCACCAGCACGCCCATGACTCGGCGAATTACAAGAACTATCAAACAGAATTTACATATTGAGTATTAAAAGGATTTCTAAATAGGGGAGAGTGAAATTTATCGTCAATTATGAAGGACTCGAAAAGAAGTACTTATCTTCTTAGATTCGGGGATGAGCTATACCCTAAGACGCCTCCACTAACGCAGCCAGAACATAAATCCAAAGCAGTGCGAAAACTCGAGCGCATTATGGAGATTGTGACAATGTTGCTGGATTGTCCAGGGTCAGAAGGTATATACCCGAAAAACTAAAGGAATCTAGGACTCTTTAGGATTTGTGAGACAACAGTCAGGTGACTATTGTTAAAAAGATTAGGAACCAGAAGGTTCAAGTAAAAAAAGGAAGCTAAATAAAATGTGCTTATTGGTAGCACCAACTTTACGTAGTGATTCTATATACGTATACTTTGCTCATAATTGATAGCGTTGTAAATAAAACAGTACTATAATTAATATGGAAACGATCAGATCTTAGTGGAAGCTAACAGGTTAACTTACGACAGTAACGGAACTTACGAGGCGATATGTTTTATTAGGACCCACGGGATGAGTGATGGCTTGAAACCATTTGGAAATAGCAACTGATGTTAAGATGTGAGGCCTTTATGTGAATACAGATTTATACTTTTTTTTTTCTATTTTATATTATATTTAATTTAATTTAAAATTATAGTTTGTTTAATATCACCTTGAGGGCATCAGTTGAACGAGCCTTTATGTCAATGGTCGAATAAGATGCTAAAATTCTGACTCACAGTGAGTTATAACTCATCATCATATCCCCAGTCTGGTGCAGGTAATTCATCCGCAGATGTCTCACCAGGGCAGTGTTTATGAGATGGTGGGTCTTTGCCCCCTTGACACTTCACATATACCGAGCTCATTAGTTGATCCAGTGCTTTATACTCGTAATCGTATATAAACACATAACCCAGGTAACCTGCAGCCTCACATTTATTACCATAGTAAAAACATACTGTGCAAGCATATTCATCTTCCAGCGACATATACGTATAATCTGTATACCAAGCCCCCTGATACTCCAAATACTCATGACACTTCCATTCCGTTGTTCCGTAGAACTGCCTGATGAATTCATACACGCCATTTGCTAAGAAATAGGTAGAAATATAGTATTAACTTGCTTTGAAGCTCTTTTAGCTAAATTATTCACATAACTTCCACCACCTGTCAAACGGAATCCCTCCGTATTCAGATTACTCGCATTCTTACCAGTGACCAGTCTAATATATTGACCACCGTTGAATGGATAAGTCTGGAATGAAGTTATAGTGCTAGCATTTATACTCCTATTGCTAGCATAATTGTTAACCGCAATGTGTACTTGGGTTTTGTTGTTGATATCCGCAATAAAGTATCTATCGTTTAATATGATCGGGTGTGTAATGTTCTGTACAGCAAAGACTATTTAAAAAAATAGCCCAATAGCCACAAATGAGACGATCATACTGCCTATTTGCTGTAACTAACGTGAATAACTTAAGGATGATGGGCCCTATATAGTGGTCGAGAAAATCTTGCATTTCCGTTAATCTCCACTTCGCTCCATTAAGTAAAATAAGCAAAAAATCTGAGTTTTATCGTAGACTAGCATGTTTTGATTAATATACTATTTACATGGATACGCGGAATGATATATAAATGAACTTTCTTATATTTAATCCTATGGAGAGCAAGAGAGCTCTCATTTTTGAAATTATTACTCACTTGGAGATGTATTTTATGAAAGAATGCAGCGTTCGAGATCCTCAGGTACTTTTCTTTTCCATGTTCTGCATTTTTCAAGTCATTCTGTCTGATTCATAGAGTAAGTTTGTATAATAAGATATATGAATACGCATCAGTAATTATAACTAAATTATGAGATATGGCCATGCAACAGAACGTCAGAATTCAAAGCGTATTAAGATATTTGAATTAAACCTATATAGATATGAGCAAAGACGATAGAACCAGGTAGTACAGTTCGACTAACTAAGATTAGCGTATCTTAACCTTTACAAAGTGAAATTATAGACGTACACTTAGCTATTTCGACTGTGCGGCAATACTCAGCTGCTCTTATAACAAGATTGTTGTAAGTGTGTTTTAACAAATTTACACAGTATTTTATAACAGAAGAATGAACTATACTGTTTATTAGTTTAGGGAGTAGTTAAGTTTAATGTGCTTAATATTACAATGAGAATCTGCGTAGTGATTCTATATAAATACATTTAGCTCATAATGGTAGTGTTGCAAAATAAGATATTACTATAATCAGAAATGGAAATAAAGGGTCTCTTAGCAGTAGCCGGTAGACTTGATTATGAATGTAGCAAAATTGAAGATGCTGTTCGATTTGCTAGGAATCACGAAAGGGTGTTCAAGATGTTTCAATCTTTTGCTGAACCAAACAATTGGAGTAAGAAATACACTACTGTATTTCTAAGTGGCCTCACGCATGAAGCAGATGACTGGAAACTCCAAGTGGCGATGTATTACCCTGATATCTTAGTAGAAGAGTGATTCGATTATTTTTGAAAAGAATACATTCCCAACAGATATGACCAAATACTTTACCAGAAATTGCAGAACCTCAAAGAGAATGGAAGACCAAGTAAGTATTGCGAAGTTTCAAGAAAATTGAATTATTGAATGGGGATTTGAAGCGCTCCGACAACCTTGGCATACTTGATTTGAAAGTCCAAATGGGCTCTGGAGCGTCAATGAATATTGTGCATGAAAATTTAGTTAAACAGTTGTAGAAGAAGAGACGAGAAACTGAATTTTTTGAATTCAATGGAAGACAATAGGAAGCAAAAAAGAAGCAGTATTGAGACTCCAAGAAATTGAAAAAATAAGTGAGTTCTACATTACAGAAAAAGGTGCAAAAGAAGTATTAATAGAAAAGTCAAAGGTTTTAGGAATTAAGTTGAGAATGGCTACAGTTGTTCATAGTAAGACAGATGGATAAACAGTACGACTAAATGCAGATAGAATGTTGAAAACGCTAAGACAAGAAAAATTCCATCGCTCTAGGCCGCCGCCCCTTGAAAGGCACCCAAGAGGTTTGAGAGAGTACTCTAAAATGGATTCCAGACACAAATGAAGATTAGATCAAAAATCAAAAAGCAATATACTCCGACAAAAGGAAATGAGATCCAAACTAACTGATAAAGGAGACTAGAGCACTTCAAGGGAGGTAATTGATACTAATACTCGGAGAGCTCATCCTTAGGTCGTGAGATATTCAAAGTTAATAGCCGTTAATTTTGGGCTATTCGGCATGGTGAAAGAGATCAACGAGAATAATTACGAAGTTGACATCCCCAGCACTGCAAAGAAATATCGGGTAATAAATACAGATATTTAAAAAGATAATATAGTGATGATGGGAGATGAAGATCATCGACAAGCCTACGGCCATTTTAAATAGACTAGACAAATACCAAAAGACCAAAATATTGAGCACAAGTCCCAAAAAAAATTCAGAGGTCAGTCAAAGGCAATGAAACCATGTTGTGTCGTCAAAAGCTTAACAATCAACTATAATTGTATTATATGTATTATGTAATTGCCGCAAAATTGCTGCGACTTGGAACCACGGCGCCAACATGGCAGAAAGTCCGAAATGTAATTACATCTTCATGTCGGATTCACGACGGCTCTACAATGGAGCTTATGCCCTATCTTTGAACGGACTATCTGGCTCTCTTTCTGCACTTTAGAAAATAGTTGACTTTGTTATTAGAAGCTTCGGCCGAAACTTCTTAGCGTTCTCCGAGGGATCAATAACATAAATATCGACCCATGGAAGATCAAACTTAAACAATTGCAAGTGCTTATATCGTTTTTGCATTATTCCAATGTCTAATAGATTTGATTCGAACAGCAAGTTCCATAATTCCCATCCTAATTCCTTTGAGGAGGAAGCAGGCCCAAATGGAAAGAAATACATTAACGAAGACTATGAGAGGTCGTTGGGGAAAGAACTAGAAGGCATTAAAAACTACGATACATCCATTGTAGAAGACAATTCCGAATTTAAAGACTTTCCACCTCTACCAGAGAGAGAACTATACGTGGTAATGTATCTGGGACCAAATGATAAAGAATTTCCTCATAACTGGAAGCTCATTAGGAAGCTTTTTGACAGCAGTGCCTTTGCATGTTCAATGCTTGCTTTGGTTATGGGATCGGCAATGTTTGCTCAAGGTAGTGAGGGAATAATGATGGAGTTTCATGTGGGCTACACTGTGGCTACACTAACCACATCTTTATTTATTGCAGGCTTCGCTTCTGGTCCCATTATTTGGGGACCACTTTCTGAGTTGTATGGAAGGAAACCGATTCTTATAATATCAACCTTTGGATATATTTGTTTTGGCTTTGCTGTGGGAGCAGCGGAGGACATACAAACAGTAATATTGTGCCGGTTTTTTGGGGGATTCATTGGCGCAGCTCCGTTGACAGTATCTATAGCAGCTATGGCTGACATATTTGATGCAAAAGCAAGAGGGAAAGCTACCACGATTTTTGCCATGGTCTTGTTTGGAAGTCCCATGTTTGCCCCAGTTCTTGGGGGTTTTACTGCGAAAAACAGTTCCCTAGGATGGAGGTGGACTTCTTATTTTCCCACCTTAGTGGCTTGCTTGGCATTAGTCCTTTTAATTTTCTCGGATGAAAGTCATCACGGTATTATTTTGATTCAGAAAGCCAAATTTCTAAGGAAAAAGACAGGTGTTTGGGGGATCTATGCTCCTCATGAGTTAATATCCTTGACTTTAAGAGATATCATCCACAAGAGCATATTTAAGCCCATCAGAATGTTGTTCACAGAACCAATCTTGCTTTTAATATCAGTATACTCTGCGTTCATCTACGGGATGTTATATTTATTCTTGACTGCTGTGCACATAATATTCATTGATAGTTATGGGTTTTCAGAGGGGGGCGGTCAATTGCCCTATATTTCTATGCTTTTTGGGATGCTTGCTGGGGGTTTGTTAAATATCTACATGGATAAAAGATATCTCAAAGCAATGAAGATAAACAACGGTAAACCTGTTCCTGAAGAAAGATTACCCCCCGTTATGGTAGGCTCGGTGTGCTTTACCGTTGGCTTATTCTGGTTAGGGTGGGCAGGAGGATTTGGCAACAGGGTGCATTGGATAGTACCCACTATTGGAATGGCCCCACTCGGAGCAGGGGTTATCCTTATTTTAAAACCATGCATCGGTTATATCATAGAATGTTATTTGCCGTCTGCTGCTTCGGCTCTTGCTGCTAATACATTTTTGAGATCAGCATTTGGAGCAGCATTTCCGTTATTTGCTCGCCAAATGTTTGTCAATATGCAAATAAAGTGGGCCAGTACCTTAGCAGGATTTATTGCTGCAATATTGATACCCGTGCCATTTTTGTTCTACAAATATGGAAGAATAATCAGAGAAAAATCAGAAAATGCTTTTCATTGACCATTATTGACTCAGAAACTGATCAAGGAGGATTCTAAACCATGCGTCCGAACCTTCGCTTAGTAAGGCAAAGTCACCCGTTTCCAAAGATGTTTCTCCATTCCAAGTTATTTCTGAAGTAGGTCCAACGCCTAATTTTTCCATAAATGAATTTAATCTGGATAATGTGGTATCCATAATGCTCTTCAACTCGATCAATGAGACCCCATCAATTGCTGCAAACACATTCGGATGGTCTTCAAAACCTGCGAGATGGGTCTTTCCAGTGACATTTCTCTTATACCACCGGAACATCTTAGCAATTCTCCATGCCTGGAAAAAGCGGTCGGTTAACTGGTCCATGATTTCCAACAAACGCTGGCATATTTGACGCACCAAGTGAGCTAACTCACGAAGTGAATCGTGATTTTTCGCTGTTTTCTTAACCGGGTTCAAGGCACTAAGTATACGTAATAATAATCCATAGTATAACTGCCCCATTGATTGTAATGCCATTATATTGTACTGGTTCATAAAAATACCATAATCACTCGTGAGCCCATCAAAGGAGTCAAGAATTAGGGGGATGATCTTTTCAGTGCAAATAGTCATATACTTCTTTATATAATTGAGGGCCAATTCCCATTCCTTTTTTCTCTCAGAATCAAACATTATTAAGGTGTAAATATCTATGATACTACGAAGCATGCAGAGACTAAATTTATTTTCATGAACTGCTCGATGTCGAACAAATTGATCTTGTAAGATATCAGTAGTTCCCTTTTGGATACACCTTGAAATTTTTAGACCCATTAATGCAGCTTCAAAAGACTCGAGGCGACTTGAAATCTCTAACTTAGTGAACTGCTTACTAGTATTAAGCATGATTTCGACAACTTTGCTAAAATGGGAAAAATTATTTTGAAACCAGGTATCAAACTCTGAGAGGGTACGATCAAAGTCATTCACGAAATCTTGACCAAAGGACCCTATGGGCTTCACATCGCAGTAGCTGACATCCACAAAAGGTGGTCTTCCATAAGTGAGACAATGTTCTAGATCGTCTCGCATCAATTTGAACCACAATTTTCTTCCAATAGACTCCTGTAAACCATTATCAGGGTGGTCATTCAGCCTTGTAGGTTCCCTATTCAAACCCATACAATAGCAAGCCTTAGTTATATTTGATGTCGCACTGTGTGAATTGCAACCATCTATACCATTTCCAGACTCAGGGCCATATACATTGTAAAATTCCACGAAGTTTAAACATTGTAGTATGGATAGGTTGATTCGTTTATCCATATCAAACTGGTTTAAACAGCTTCGGGCTAAAATGATGAATTCTTCACCAATATGGGTTTCATGAATGAATCTGATTTGTTTGTCCTCTTCTGAAAGAAGCTCTACGTTACTGGAATATCGAAGTTCATTGGCCCACTTGTTGTTACTGTAGGTAAACAAGAATGTTAGACGGAGAATAACAAGCAAGGTTCCGATGGGAGCAAAGTCCAATTTCTTTGTCATACTTAGGTTGGTGACAGGATTATCCGTTGGGGGTCCTAATATTTGAACAACATTATCTCGATACTGGGTCTCATCTAAATATGGAATACAAGGGTGTACATGCAAAAAAAAGAAGTCCAAAAGCCTCCATATTGTACCAGATGACGGAAGTATGGTTGAAATACTGGTCACTAGTTTGAGGTTAAACAGGTTGGGTTGAACCTGGTCTTCCTTAGACTTTTTTAACGAGTCCAAACTTTCAAGTACTCTGTTATCGATGATTTGTTGATCAAGTCCTTCGCGAGATATAAGTAGTTCCCGAAATTTTTGATCCTTTAGTCTTCCATCTTCGTATAAAATGCTAGTAGTTGAGACATTGGCTTTGGTGTAAGCTGTAGGTGGTAGAAGTTCGGTAAGATTTCGTCTAACTTGATTGGTGAATGAATCATGCCTGAGAATTGAGTACCACAGAGGGGGCCCAAATGCCAATTTGTTATCTGATTCCCTATAATGAACCGTTCCGAAAACCTTGGGGAAGTTTATTTTGTCATCTGTCTCAGTAAGTTGGTCGATATTTGGAAAGCTTTGCTCTACAGAGAGAAAATAATCTCCATCGATAGGTTCATACTCCGCCAATTGCAGTTTGAGGTTTTGTATTTGTTTCACAATATTCACCATCAATTTTTCTTTCTCAGCACTGGGGTCCTGAACTTCGTATCGACAACTATCTGCTTTATTGCATTTGATGCAAGCTGAGCATGGTTTGTTTCTATCACACCGAGTCTTTTTCTTTTTGCAGTTTAAACAAGTGAGGACTCTCCTCAGTCGTCTGACAGGCTTGAAAGGAACCATCAGGTAATTAAAATTGACAACTTGTAAAGTTCAGCTAATACAGGATTTCGTCTTTCGCTCTTTATAAATGTGATTACTTAAGTTGGGTAAAGAGCGTGCTGCGGAATTGGAGTATTTGCAGCCATAGGACCAATCTTATGTTTCACTAAATATAGAGCCGGGGTATCCTGAACTCTATTTATGATATTATAGGATAGAGATGTCATATCCAATTTTACTGAGCATTTAATGTCGAAGGACGTAACAACGGCTTCGAGATCATGTTTCGGCCGAAACTCTGAGATATTCTCCGAAAGTCTCAAAAGCCACACATGCAATACCAAGATATCGTTATTTTCTTTTCAAATCTGAGTTAAACTAGATTACTTATGAGATAATAACTACTCAAAAGGGTATAGGTCGTTGATTCAGTGTCACAATTCCGTGTCAAGGAGGGCGATGTGCCATTGAGCTTTAAGCTTATGGGCGGCAAACTAATCACCTTTTTAGAGCTACAAGCTACATACTGTTTCGCATATCTTCTAAAATTTAAATGTCAACTAGCAGTTGTCCCTTAGGCTTCATGAGCTTTTACTCTGCGCAATAAGAAATACATCTTTTAACTGCAAAATTCTAAAATTTCATTTTTAATATCTTGAAATCTCGAAATAATAAAGCAAGAAGCCCACTTTGAAATCTCTTGTCCATCTTCATAGTTTCTAAGGCGACTGAATTTGATTCATTTAATTAAGCCACCGGTACATTTTTCCAAGTTATATTATTGGGATGGTCTCTAAGAAATGATTGACCTAGTATAATATTTTGCAGTAATTCACTTGCAAAGAAGTTTATCCGTCCTTTGTGTTCCCTTGTGACTGAGACTTTATAATTAACATTATAAGTATTATTTCCTGCTGTCATTATTTCCACTGTTTCACATTTTTGTGGTTTTAAATTTAATTGCTTCACTACTTT